ATGGGAATATATCATCTTGGAGAGAGAGTTATACCGTGCTGACTTTCATAACTGAACGTGACATGCTGTTTGAATGCTGAGCGGAGAATAGCAGCAGAAGGAATTATATTTACATCATTACATCATTTCTGTAAACTTAAATTTAACAATGTAAATATAATTATGTCCCTCACATTAAGATATGGAATGGCTTCAGATGATATAGGCTATACAGTGCATGAAAACCAAACTGGTGCTTTTCTGTTTCTTTTGGTGTATGACTCCCCCTTGTGACGTATAAAAAGCACAATAGTCGCGGTTGTCTGAAACAATTAGACGGTTATTTAATTATCGCGACAGGCCTAATTGAAAATACATAATACATGAGTGGCTAATCAGAGCCTGGAGTGTCTGCTAGAAGATACTAAAGTCATGCTAACTCCATGTCTGCATGAATAAGATAAATCAATAAATCAGGACAAGATGTTCTCAGAACAAACCCACATCTCATAATGTTCATTAACTTCACCGTTCCAAGCCATAAAAACAGCGAATGGTGCACTTTAACCTTTAATCCCAATTACTGTCACCTTCAGTAAGCAATTATATCACTAGCACTAATAAACTTGCTCACCTCTTTTGCATTATGCTGATTGCAAAGCAAAGATGAAAGCAATTTAGATTTCTTTACATTAGAACAAGAGTATGTTATTAGTGGTGGTTAAGGCAAGGATCAGTATTACTTATACATTGGTTAGGGAATTTAAACTCTCCCTCACTTCTTGTGCTACTGCCATGAATGATACCTCAAATTGTGTGGCTTGTTTAGGAGAGGTGCTGTTACTAACAACCTGATTTCAGAGTTTTCTGTTTAAATAGTTTAAAAAAATGTTTTAACGGTTCTAAGAAAATTTAGATCGCAAAACTTTGCGTAAATATAAAAATAATGATTTATTAGGAATAATGTATTACACCATTTATAATAATAATAATAATAAATGGCTTTATTTTAATTTATTAATTTATTTATATTTAAATTATTTTATTATTATTAGTATTAATTATAATAATTCATAATGCATTGTTGTTTAATGATTTTTAGTTGTCACTTGTCAAAAATAAAACCAAAAAAATAGTTCTAAGAAAATTTTGATTGCGAAACTACTTTGCATAGATATGACAAAAATAATTTATTATGAATAATGTATTCAACTTTATTATTATTTTTATTATTGTTATAAATTCATAATGCATTGTTTTTATTGTACTTTAATGTTTTTTTTTTTAGTTATGCCATGTCAGTCAAAAATAAAACAATAATTAAACTATCAGTTCCTAAAATTGGTTATCAGAACACTATAAATTTGCTAACATAAAAATTTGGTATGGTTATTGGCAGGGTTTGAAATGAACACCCGCCAACCCGCCAAATGCAAAAATCAGCTGTGGCGGGTAACGCTGTCAAATCACTAGCCAATTTGGCGGGTTACTTTTCGTAAATTATGTTTACTAATTCATTTCTTGAGGAAGTTCATGTAAGCCAAATCTGCACAGATTTAGTGTAAATACTGAACTCGAGACACATCATGATATATTAAATAAGCCTAATTGCGCAGCATCTGGGCATCTAGCTTACTTGAACATACCCAGCAATGTAGCTACTGGCCATCGGGAGCACCGGGACATTCCCGGTGGGTCGATCGCCGAAGCGAGGAAGACCTCATATTAGGCGCTGTTTTTAAATTACAGCCCACGCGAAACTGCAAAAAGCAAGCCA